GTAATAAAATATATCCCAAACTATTATCAAAAATATAAAAATATTCAAAGCACTTTAACTTTGTTATTCAACTATTAAAAAAAAATCGTTAATATAATTGCATTGTTGAACATTACATTGTTTATGTAGGTACCTAAAATTGGCTATGATTGAATTAGAAAATACATTAGGAAGGTACTTACTTTGCTTTTGGCTTTCATGAACACATGATTCTCCATTTCTAAACTGTTCTTTGATGTGGGCATTCCTGATTGAGCAATAGCTTCATCACTAGAAAWATAAATACATAATAATTTGATTGATATTACAAGCTTACAATCATCCACAGTTATGCACATACATTTTATTGACCACATTGTGGCGAAAACTCGAAGTACGCCAAATATCGTCGTCGCTCATGGCGGCTGTTGTAGTATTTCAAATGTAACTAATATTGAATTATGGTTGGAAATAAGACAATGGTAAGAAAACTGTTAAATTGTCGACACATAAATCTATGTAAACCGCTTACCGTTTTCAAGCCAATTGAACGCTAATAAAAGAAATTAATTTTAATAGCAACAATAATATACTATCAACACTAATTGGTGACATGCCAATTGCAAAACTAGACCCAAAATTTTTTAAAGTCACAACTCACTAGTCAGTAAAATATAATGAACATCACAACAGAGAACAGAAGAAGAAGAAGAACTAAACCAATCTAATCTGTATTCTATGAACTAAACGATTTTAATGATACGTCATGACGTCGGTAAACAATTTTTAAGGCTTATCAGATTTATCGTTTTTTTTATAAACATTTTCCCGGTCTAGAACGTTTCCGATCCATGGTCCGCGGTTGATAACGACAGTGCCATCTTCTAGCAATTTTTTGTACTGTGTTTGCGCTCGAAGAAAACGATCCTACAAATGCCATAGATCCGATGGCAAGTATTACCAATGGTAGTACGGTATGGTAATTTACCATAGAACAATTATGTATTACTGAACCTTAAAAGGTCTATGCATATTATAATAATTGTCCACGACTGATGACTGTAAATCATAGARTAATATAGAGATGCCATATCGTATCTCGGCAATAGAATAGTTGTGAAGACAAATGTGTTAGGTCATTCAACCCAATTGTGTGTCACCTTACAACCAGATTTCAACTAGATCGCGTTATTCACGGATTCGCTTGATTGATTAATACATGTGATAAACTGAAAAGTATAATACTAATTTTGAATAATAGTGTAAACAATAACAAACCGTGAATAAATAAATACTAATTAGTATATTAATCTGTGTCCGCACCCCATGCGATAAATAAAACATATACATATTTTTAAAATATTTTTGCCTACCTACCTAATTGCATATTATAAKTTATAATTTATTTAACTTGCGTTGTAAAAATGTACAAAAATGAAATCAATAAACGAGTAATGTTTTGTTGATTTAATTTTTTTTTTTTGGTAATTAGAATTTTTACTTAAGTATAAGTTAAATAATTTAGGATTTTGGGTTCAGGGTACCCCATGAAAATTGGAAAACCCAGCGCCCATGACAACTACTAACTATCCTATTATAATAATAATACACAGTGCATTAATTTATTATGCAAAAACAGCATAATAATGCATTACAATCATTATACCTACAATTATTCCTGTTATCTGGTCATACGTCATACTGCAAGTAGACCTCTTTCACCTCAATACAAAATCGAACGGCTCCTCTATAAATTGTTCTGTGATATTTATACTCTATGCTGTAAATTTTATTTYGATTTTTGATGTCTACGTTTGTGATAAGATAACATTCAAATAATTACCGCCTGAATTTAAATATTATAATCATAATAAAATTGAGTATTGTAATTTTTATAACTTAAATCTAAATTATTCGGTCCTTGCCTAACAAGTGTACCTATAAGTCAATAATATAATTAATTATAGTAAAAAATTGTTTTTTTTTTTGCTGTATATAATCATTAAAAAATTAATTAAATAATAAATTCTTAAACTATTAGAACATTTAGTGTTCTTTATTTGTCTTGTTTTTTGATACCTGTAATAAAAAAATATATATAATTCATGAATGTATTGAAAATTGGAATGCAAATTCAATGTAGACCTACGTCGAAAATTCTCTTTTGAGGTTTCATTTTACCCCTATCCATTTAATTTTTTTGCTTCAATGGTACAGTTTCAATTTGTGAAGCAGTGATCGAAAAATGGATGTGTGTAACCAATTTTTTGTAATTATTTTTCTTTTGAATTAATTTTTTAAAATCAACGATTGCTCAATTTCTTTTAATATTTCGTGTCTTAAGTTGTATAAATCTAAAAAACAAAAATTGGAAAATGTAATTAAATAACCAATTTTTTATGATTTGCACGAAGATATTTCAATTTATTGGTACGTTTAAAACGAGATTGTTTTTTTTTTTTGTACTTCATTTTCTTTCATAATTAAATATTTCTCATTTCCTCCAAGTAGCACAAACAATCTTACACGCTTTTGACTTTGGATCTACACATAATTTTTTTCTTTTAAAACTCTATGGAAACTTTATAAGTTCATATTTGTGTTACAGCCGGCATTCTGCCTGTAACAGTATGCCCAAAACTGTTGATTTTGGCCATAATATTTAAAAAAAAATAATACAAAAAACATTATTGAAGATCGGCATCATTGCTTGACAGAAAAGTGAGTAGTTTATTTTGAAATATTCCTATATMTAATTCAGTAGATAGACCATATAGCATTTTAGTGACGAYAACTTTCTTTTTTTTATTTTGGACAAATTTTTACGCCAGGCTTCATGCACGTGTCACTTGCAAAATAGTGCATGTTCACAAGACCCATTTTTTTATCCAACTGTTAAAATATGAACTCTGGAAATCTGACTAATTGTTTTTGGCGACATAGTACCTAATCGATCTTTGATTTTTTAAGCAGAACACTAATTACCACTTCGTCGTTTCTATTGGTTAGAAAAAAGGCAACTGGGTAATCATTGGGGTCTACATCTGTTACTAACAATGTATGTAAAATAAAATCATTTGGATTAGTTCAATGCGTACCATCAAAATATATTGTTTTGTAACCATATACACAACCGAACACATTCCGTCGTTTTTAGAAGTTTTTATATTTTATAAGCGCGCGGCAAATATCACCTAATTTTTTAGAACTTATCAGTTTTGAAATTATTTTGGGTACAGTTTTCAATCGTTTTTATCCTGAACAATGACATATCTATTGTTTTACGCTAATTGTTTTTGTATTACATGACATATCCACAGGAAACTGAATAAAATACTTTTGTTCTTCATTAATTTTTCATTTTTGAAATTCACTAAAGGATGTGAACTTTTGTTCATACACGAAGTTTATGCTGTGACATTTTTACAGGTAGTATTCATTAATAATAAATAAATAATAATWATTATTATTAGTTTTATAGGACTTATTACAATACCTATTATGATTCTGGTGTTTATTATTTTTTATAGGTAAAATATAAAGATTTAAGTCATAAAAATTACAATACTCAATTTTATTATTTTAATTATTTTATTATGATTATAATATTTAAATTCAAGCGGTAATTATTTGAATGTTATCTTATCACAGACGTAGACATCAAAACAACAATACTTAATACTTAATACTTGCCACCGGATCTATGACATTTGTAGGCTTGTTCCAAAAACCGCCCGTCACCGCTACTCGAACAAGAAGATAGAAACCRCTGCAATGTACGTTTTTCGATTTAATTTTCTGATCTTCATGTCGAGCCACCAATCGATACTGGATAGATATCAGTATATCACTACACTATTTTAATGGTAACTTCGCTGCTAGGTTACTGAATGGCTCTATTTTATACCTGTCGGCTGTCACTGAGTACACTGCAATGGTCAAATTCACCATCACACCATTCATAAAACGTAGGTAATTATTGATTATTAAATGTAAATACAATAATATTTATAATCAATGATTTTAATGTTGAAAAAATGGCTCT